AATAAAAAAATAAAATAAAAAAGGTCATGATTTGAAATCGTGAAAATTGAGAGCAATTGCTGAAAAATGGGGCAGTTAAAAAAACTCCAATAGTGGATTACAGTAGCCCCCCCCTTATCTTGGTTTCAGTTACTAGTAGTCAACCAAGATTCAGAAGTAGATCCTCTTTATGACATAATCATCAGAAGGTCAGCAGTAGCCTAAGGCTATGTCACAATGACTACATTACTCACCTCACTTCCTTTCATCATGCAGGCATTTTATCATCTCACAGTGTCACATGAAGCTGAGTACAGTAAAGATATTTTGACAGAGAAACCAAATTCACATAACTTTCATTACAGTATATTGTTACACTTATTTTTAATTATTGTTATTAATCTCTTATTGTGCCCAATTTATAAATTAAACTTTATCATAGGTATATGTGTATAGAAAGAAACAGTATAAAGGGTTTGCTTTTGGTACTATCTGTGGCTTCAAGTATTTACTGGGGGTCTTGGAGCATATGCCAAACAGATAAGGGGGAACTACTCTGTTTGCGACCACTAAAATATTTTACAATTTTTAAAGTTATAGAAAAATGCTTGCTTTATGATGTTAAATGAAAAAGTAGAATAAAAATTGTATTAATGTCTGACTATAATGTTTAACAATATACATGTGGTTTTATATATATGCATTACAAAATTAAATATGTCAATATTAATTATGTGTATTTCTCAGTGGTGAGATTAATTTTTTACTTCTTTATACTTTTTTCTATTTTCAAAATTTCCCACAATAGATGAAACTTTGAAAGGTATTTTAAAAATGATGTCTATAAACAAAGAGCTTCAAAAAGAATTGTCAATAATCTAAGTTGCATAATATGGGCTTGAAAGAGTAAGTTAGGCCTTATGAAAATCAGCCAACATTTATCACTCTTTTCAAAAAAAGAAACTTGGAAAAAATCTGTTCCTAATCAATCATACGTAACAGGCAAGGCAGGGTAAAGTCAGGAGAGTCCATGAGGTCTGGCTGGAAAGCACCCCTTTGTTTTCGACTTCACGAAGTTAGAGGACTCAGAATTGGAATCCTGATCACATTACAGAGTTTTGTAAAGTTTTTTTACTCATAAAGAGTTTGGCATTTTCTGTCCACACAGACATTCATTTCATCTAACTCATCTGAAAATCAGGCTGCCCCTGGGGTTAAAAATCCTAAGGGGCTAGTGTCTATTTTTAGTGCTTTCAGTAAAACTTGATTGTGATTTTGGAAGTTTTCAAATATCAAAATGATGTTCATTTTTACATCAGGTCATAGCTATTCTTAATCTTACTTTGTTTATTATGATCATGTTTTGTTTGGCAGGGAGAGTGAATGAAAGCCCCTTCCTGCCCTAAAAACGGACATGCACAGACGAGTGTCAGAGTCTGGCTGCGACATCGCCTTGCGGCGTCCTTAAAGGACCCCAGACCTGGACCTCACGTGAGAGTTACAAGAGAAGCAGGGGAGACTGTGAACTTCCCAGGCGGGTTTGCTTGGGTGCAATCCAGAGAGAACAAGGACGCAATCTGGGACCCAGGGAAGAGCCTTCCAGGGAGGCCACTGGCTGTTCACTGGGGCACTCAGGTAAGCTGCTCTTAGGGAGGCACTTGGGGTGTGGGCACTGTCCTCTCACCTCCATCAGCTCAGTAAATCTTAGTATGTCAATTGTAAGGTGGCAAGTCACCTGGAAGCCTTAGGGGACATGCTCAGAAAGCTTTACAGATGAATCCCTCCACGACTTGATGTCTCCCAGCACTGCTTCCCTGGTAGAAGAAAATGCCCTGTCCTTGAGGACCGGAGTTAATGGGTTACAGTATTTGAGGAGTAGATTAATACAAGGTCCATGTTAAAAATATGTATCAGTTCACTTCAACTGAGAAAGTAGCTGACTGGCTGATTGGTTAGATGGATAAGAATAATACATGAGCATCTCATCAATTGTAGACATATTGTATATAACAAACCTTCCAAGAATTTACTGAAACTAGTAGACCAAATGTAGGCTTTGACTTTTCAACAGCCCTCCAGGCCTCTCTCTTTTAGGTTCTACCTGACTCAGATATTGAAATGTCATTAGAAATTCCTTTTAAGTTAGTATATCTATTATCCCAGTTTGTACAGACAAGCTTCATTTGTACTTCATTGTTAGTTTGTTCTGTACTTTAACAATCCCTACTTATTTTGTTTTGATTTTCAGTCTGGTATATTGTGTTTAAATCTGCATGTCCTCTCTTTCAACACAAAAGCTGTTAGTTATGTTCTGATCTTTGTAAAAATGTAAAGTTTCAAAGGAAAAAAAGGAAACAGTATGATATTTTCTATGTCCTGAATTTCTAAAGAGAGCTCTTAAGCTGACATAATTGAAATTTAGCCTCATTCCTAAAATAAAGAGAACAGAAAGAGGAAGAGGAGCATAGTATTTACACAGAGAATCCAACACTGATCTATCCAAAATGGAACTTTGCCTAAATGACCCAGCTATGCAAGTGTTTTAGGGCTGGACAACTTAGAAGAAAGTCTTAAAAAGATAAGCCAAAGCTGGTCCTCAAGTGTTTTTTTGGGTGATAAAATCTGTCTCAGTGCTTGAAATTTGTTTCTTCTGTTACGGTTTTTGAGCGATAGCTTGTTAGCTACTGGAATTTTTCTATTGTTTAGAATCCAAGGGGAAAGATATGGTTGTGTTTTAAATGCCAACAAGTATAGGTGTATCTTTCAGTCACCAGTGGATATGGGTGGCCATTTTCAACTGTTGCAAATGCTGTCTCATGGTGAGTTTGCCTACTGAAGCTCTCCTGACTAGGTCCATCTCTGTACATCCTCAGTGCCAACCCTCCAGCACTTCCTACTTTTACTTTGCAGTAGGCCCCTAACTGGCCCCCAACTTTAGTGGGATCTCTCCAACCCTTGTTTATGTGGTGCCAGCATGCTGTGCATATAGCACAAGCTGAACCCTTGAGCAGGTCCCCCAGCACCTGTCTATAATCCAGGCTCCTTGGCTGGGCAGTCAGTCCTAAATGACTGGGGTCTACATACCTCTCACCATTGTCTGACATGTACATTATACTCTGACAAGTCCGGGTTACCACTAGCTACCTTTGCTTAGAATACTCTTACCTCTGGCTGACCAAAAAACTCCTCAGTACAACTTTATGGACAACAATTAAGCAACTGGAATTCAGAACCTTAGAAATAAGGAAATAATCCTAAATGTGAACTAAGATCAACACACACACACATAGGTATTATTTAAGAAAGCAAAAAATTATTTTAGGGGAACTTAAATGTCCCCAAATAGTCACACAAATTATGGAATATGGGATATTGTGCATCAGTTGAAAATGGTACTAACAAAGCTTTAAAAACATGGAAAATGCTTATCCTAAAATGACTTAGGATGACTTAGGAGATGCAGATATCAAGAAAGATGCCAAGAAAGACAAGTAAGAATTGAAAAAACAGTCTGGGATAAAGCTTAAAAAATCCCTTTGCTATGAGTGGGTCACAGATTTGGCTCGCACCTTTCCATCAACAAACAGGAAGAAGTCTGGATAGTGTCACAACTCAGTAACCACAATATAAAACACTCTTGTCCTTGGGAGAAATGCAGATTCCGTAAGTGAACTGCTCTGGTGAGTCCCCGTGAAGAAGTCTAGGAGACACCATGGCAAGTTCCTAAAGACAGTGTCTTACCTTGATCTTGGAGAAGAGTTAAGGCATTGCTCCAGACAGCCTGAGTCCTCCAGAAGGAGCTCACATGTAAGAGTGCATGTTTTTAGTTTTCTGTGCTGTTTCTTGTCACAGAAGCACATTTGAGAGGAACAGAAGGACTGAAATACATTTCAATAATCTTCCCAAGAGTAAGTTTTTTTTAGTTACACGTTTCATATACTTAAAGAGTTTAAAGTTGTATTTGCTGAAAAAGGACCTGGAATCCAGCTCTTCTAGCTGGATAATGAGAAATGGACTTATAAGAATGAATCATTAAGGGGCAGGAGTGGAGGCAGGGAGGTCAGTGAGAAGGCTGCTGTGGAAAGCCAGGAAAAGAACTGAGGGTATGATCAGCCATGGTAAAAGGGACAGTGAACATTCTGATTCTAAGAGTGACATCAATAATAGCAATAATAATGACACTGGAAATAGTAGTTATCATACTTTGTCAGGTTTTGAAATGAAAATATAAAAACCGAAATTATATGCCTGAATCAAAATCTAAGTTCCTTCATTGACATTTTCTTTGGTTACCAGAAGTCAAGCCTAAATTAAACACAAAACACACAGAAAAGAACTCCAGATTGGGGGAATAGGGAGTTTTTGTTTAATGGCTGCAGGAGCTTCAGTCTGGGAAGATGAAAGTCTGAAAATGGATGTTGGTGATAGTTGTACAACAATGTGAAGGTACTTAATGTGACTGATTTGTCAACTTAAAAAGGGTGAAAATGATCAATTTTATGTTCTGTGTATTTGACACCTCCCCCAACCTCCTCCCCACAAAAAAATAATCTGATCTAATAGTTAGCTTTGCTCAGGACAAAACTGACACCCTGCTGTGAAGAGCAAGGAGCCCAGTAAGCCTCGGACCTGCACAGCCGCCCAGGTCGCTGCTCATGGCAGCCATGTCCACCACTGTCCTTCAAACATTGTTTGGTAGCCACTTCTGCTCCTACACTAAACAGTGCAAGCACACTGCTTCCCAACCAGGACTATGTCAGGATTGGTGTATCTTTCTCATGTTATCCAACCACTTTCTCCTGCTCCAAAATACAAAAAGACCTCACTAAAAGTACAGATAGCCTCCTCAGTAGAAGTGCCCTCCAGGCTATGCTGCTTACAAAATATGAAGTAATCTGTTGCATGGGACTTTATTTATGAACAAAAATTGGGGCAGATCATCACTTGAGCTTTAGAGAATTTTATTTGTAATCCAGCAGTGACAATAATAAGCAAGCAGGACATACTGCCTCTATGGGCCATTAGTACACAACCAAACTGTATTGTCTGTATGTGAGAAACTGCTTTTCTCTGTCTTCTCTAGGGTGGGGTGCACATGGCGAAATGTAAACAGCTCATCAATAGATTATTAAGACTTAAGCGACAGGGAGCCAGGACACATTCCTCTTTTATCTTGGTGGAAAATTCTGACTGGTCAGTGAAAACAGGAATCCTGACTCTTGTGGAGCAGGTTCTACATAAGCACCAACATCCCAGGGTCTTTGAATGGTTTATTCAACTTAGACCTTGATCAGCTTCTGCCTGCAGAGTCAGAGGCCAAAGGAAAGTCAAAAGGAGCCACAATGTAGCACTACTTCTGGAAATTCTTACAATGTTAAGCGAAAAGAGCAGGAGAGTAAATGCTGTTAATAGTAGTGTCTCAAACTTGCAAAAATAGGCAGAGCAATTAAAAGGAAATACATAAAAATGTTAGCAGTAGTTACATTCATGAGGAAGTTTGGCAGATATAATGAGGATATAATAGGCAAAACAAACCATAGTTAGAAAATATGAAGACGTTACTTTTTCTGCAGAGCCTTCCTTAACTTCCTGGTGCCTGGCATTAACTCCTCCAATGATTTTTTTCTTCATTTTACTATGATTGTTGCACATATCACTCTGTATTGTAATTACTTATTTAAAGTCCTGCCTCTCCCTCACTAGACTGATTTCTTTAGAGCTGGCACCTTGCCATTTATCTCTTCAACTCTGGTACTTCACACAATTCTTGGCACACAGTCCCTACAAAATAAATGTTTGTTGTTTCAAATGAAGCATTTAGTTACTAAAAAGGTCATGGCAAGGGTCTGCTTGCTACCAGGGAGTTTTTAAATTTTTCCTAAATTGTGGAGAGTTTCCAAAGTCAGGGAAAAGACAGTAGAATAATATCCTCCTAGATTAGTGATGATGCTATACTGACAAATTAGAGATAGGAAGGAATTTTACAAGGAATTGTATAGGGAAAGGGTGCACACATTTCTTTGTTTTTGAAAACTAGCAAAGACTTTCTCCCTGCCCAAGTAGGTCACACTCTTCTGAGAATCTTTCAGAGCATGTTTGAAATTGGATAATTGAGTAGAAAGAAATGAATAACCACTAAAGAACAGTAGGGACACCATAGGGTAAAAGCTATTGAGCATTCTGAGGGCTCAAATTATTATCTGGACAAGAGAAGACAATAAAATTTCAATGAAATCCTTCAGCAAATTCTCTTCTGTGGCTAACATCATAACCACAAGAACTAACCTGAGTCACAAAAAACAGTCATAAGATACAACATAATGTATATTTCAGCATATGTACGCCATGGCAAAAACAATGTTTCTTGGGAAACACTCTAGTGGGTGCTGGGATCAAGCCCAAAACACCAAAGTCAGACGTGAGGTGCCTAGTGGGCTGCTGTGGGTCTCTTCCTCCAGCTAAACGTGCTCTGTTAGCTCACCCCATGGGGACCTCCTGCCTGCACGTCATAGAAGAGAATGCTGAGGAAGAAAGAGTGAGGGTGGAAAAGTGGTAGGTGTATAAGCCCATGACTTAACTTCGGTGATCTGTGACTACAAATCAGAAGGAGAAATCATTCACTAATTCATCCTAATTTGTGCAAGCCATTCCAAAAGAGACAAACAAGGGGATGATTCTGAAAACAATGGTACAAGAGGACTCCTGGGTGATTTGGAAAGACCTTAAATGGCAACAGTAGAGAAGAACCCAGTGAGAGGGATGTACCCCGCCTGTCAGGAGTTGGGAGGCCAAAGAAAAGAAAATGAGATAAGGAAGAATAAACTTGGGACATTTTTTGAAACAACTTTTACTCCAAGTAGATGCAAAAAATTCTGTGGGTGAGTCAGCCTGGAAATAATGGAAAAGAGAGACTATGAAGTTCAAGGAGCTTAATAATACCCCAGAGAAAATTATCTAGCAAAAAGCAAATGCCAGTGCATTTGTTGATAACATCCATTAGTGCAAACTGTCTGGCAGAAACCAGCAACAGGCATAAAAATATCTCGACTTTAAAGTCAGCATGAAAAAAAATGTTTAAAGTCAGCTCTTCAAAGAGTAAGTATGTGTATCTAGGCTAAGATCAAACAGCAATAACTACAGCCTGTATTTGGTGATGCTCGATGTATTTTATTATTTGAAGCAGGGCCCACAGTAAGGAAATAAAAGTTGATGGGCAGTAAGGAGCTTGAAATAAGAAGAATCAAGGGATGAGCTGAGAACCAAATAATGTGTAAAGAGGAAGAGCTTGAGGCCAAAAGGAATGTGTGTAAGACAAAAGGACTTGTATAAGTAAAATTAAAGTTCCTAAGTTTTATTTTTTGTGGCAAATATTAAAATGCTATTTTTTCTTGTTAGTATTTCTAAAAAATTAGACCATAAAAGGAGAACTGGGATGGATATCTCATGACAATCTAAATACTGCTAAAGCAGTGTAATTTGTCATAATTAAAATTTGTAATCACCCAAATGTTCCACAACAGAGGCATGTTAAGTTGAATTGCCTATTATTACATCGATTGTTTGCATATCATGTAGCCTCTAGCAATTACATGTAACATGAAATATACTCATGACAGAGCTCTAAATGGCCAAGCTATTTTATACAGTATGAATTACAGAATTAAGTAATACTATACCTAATTTTTAAAACATATTTTCTTAATTACACTTGGATTCTTAGGAAAAGTTGCTATTTAACCCTAATTTGCTTTGAATATACTTCAATAGTAGCACCTTCATAGTGTTGTAAATCATCTCCAAGTAGCAAAGGAAAGCACTTTCCTTGCTTATAACTCTGAGGCTTTATAAAACCCTTGATAAAATACTGCAGAGTTGAAAGATGCTACCCTGAGAGGCTCTCCATAGTTCACACACTGCCATTCTTTGTATTTCCTGAAGTCGCCAAGTGAATACTAAGTGTAATGTCGAGCTAGAGAATTTATGTATAGTACCCTCCTGTGGAGGAAGGTCTTTATGTGTTCTATTTATGACATAGTCCAGTATCTAGAAACTAGGGAAAGCTAGGGTCACCAGAGTGCACGTCCTCAAGGCCTCTGTTCCTGATGATTGATTTTCCTAATAGCACTTCAAGTAAGATTCATGCCCCTGGGGAGTTCCTGTATCTAGTCAAGTGTACTGTCCTTTTTGGTCACTTCTTTGTCATTTGGGGGTTATTAAACTAATTCCTCTGACGGCATATTTTATTTCTTTTTTATTTTTAATGCATAGTTCTTAAAGTTGCATTGTTTTATAAGTGACCAGATTGTTTTATATCTTCATGTATTTTTCTACTTTGTTTACTTAAATAACCTAAGAATTTTTAAATCTAATCTTTCTAAGTGAAGACTCTTTCTTCAAGGGATAATTTGATTTTTATTTTTAGGACACTTCACAGATGCAAAAGCACTGAACAAAGGTTTTCAGGTATAGAAGGACAGCTTTTACACAACTTTAAAATATTTGATTTTGTTGACATTTTAAACTTATTTAACTATATAAAAAGAATTCGGGTCCCTTAACAGTGATTTTCAGTTAAGGAGAGGGTTAGGATTATATGAGAATCACCTACGGAGTTTTTCCCAACTACACATGCCAACATCCTCCCCTAGATTCTAGAGATTTGGGGGTGACTGTTTTATTTCCTTCCTGTTAGTACAAAAAGTGGGGAATAGAATTTGCTTTGGCTTCTGACTCACTCCTGACCATATTCTGGCTGTTGATCTCTTCATGGTCATTGATAAAATATATTTTTGAATTTACTAATTTAATTAAAATAACTTATTAAAGTGAGAAGTGATTCTGGATATCACAGACTTGTTAAAGAAAACTCGTCCCTGGAGCCAAATCATTGAATTCTGTATCACAAGGCTCTAGCTCATAGCAGTATACTTACTTTAATACAAAGAGGATCAAAACAATATTTCTCATTACACAAGAAAAGATGTTTTCAAGGAGAAAGGCTACACAAAAGGAACCCACTTTTGGCTTGTTTGCTATTCAAACACGGAAATGTCTGGGCAGAATGACCTTCAGGGCTAGGCCAGCAGCTCTGAGCCGGTGAGGCCAGCAGGCACTCCACACACACCCCAATCAAAGGCAGGCAGTGCAGTGACTCACCGGCAGGGCAAGATCCGGACAATGTCATTGGGCTTGTACCCTTCAATACAAACCGCACAGTTGTCAAAATCAGGCTCTGTTTCCTGCAACAGAGAAAGCACAGATGAACTTACTTTTGGAGCTTCGACTCTTGTAAATATCCAGACAACAAGCCAAGGAACAGCTTGCCTGGAGCAAGGCTTTCAACAGTCTACATCCCAGTTTCCTTAATCAATAATTTACTGCATATTGGCATTGTTTGCATCCCTTCCAACCTCCACTTTTTACTTCTGGGTTCCACTGGAAATCTTTTGTGAGGAAACAGTTTTTTAATGTATCATTACTTAATAATGCTACTTATTATAATTGTAAGGAAACAGTTTATAATATATACCATTGCTAATGAATCCTATTTGTTATAATTAGAGGTGACATTTCAAAATCTAAAAGATGAGAATACTACTTATGGAGAACTGTCTGAATAGTATTTAATCTATCCATTCCTCAGGAATCTAATGCAAACAACACTGAAACAGTGGTTCTGACTTCTTCAAGTAAACACATCTCTTTCAATAGGTCTTAATATGGTACTTATGTGACAGTACTTGTTCTTTTATTATTCTCTGTTTGAGGGGAAAAGTAACAAAAATATATAATATTTTAGGATCTCAATTCAAGACGGCAGCATGAGAGGTAAGACAGAGAACTCCTCCCAAAAACACATATAATATGAAAATATAGTTAATACAACTAATCCTAAAATAGCAACAGGAAAGAAGGCTACACCAGACTGCATACACCTGGAGAACAGAGCAAACCTCATAAAACAGGGTAACTACCAAACCTTGATCCGGCGAGACCCAAGCCCTTCCCCTGCCCCAGCTCACCCACAGGAGGAAGAGAAATGGAGCAGGGAGGGGGTGGGAGCCTAAGACTCCTGAACACCCACCCCTGGAGATCTGCTTTGGAGCACAAACCTACATTGTATAGTTCTCTGGAGGTTGGTGGGGTTGGGGAGTTAGGACAGGCAGAGTGCTTGAGCGACTGAGATTACGGCCATTTGTGGAGGATGGGGATCCACATCCAGCTGCTCTGGGACAAAGGAAAGGCGAGTGGTGGGAGAAGATTCCTAGCAGTGAGAGGGCTGCTGAAGGGGTGGTGTTTGCACGGAACTTGCTGCACGGGAGAAGGGATAGGTGGACAATGTTGTCCGGGTGTTCTCTGTCCAACAGGTTGGGAACTTTGAGGAGTTCCAGGAGTTCCATTTCCCTGGCTGGCTACTCAGCTCTGAAGCCCCCCACTGTGACACTCAGTCTGTTGCACTTTCCCCCTGTCCTGCCAGCACCGGATTGCAAACAGGCAGTCATTGCACTAGTGTCAGGTCAGCCAGAGGGAGGCCCCATCTACAACAGCTAGAGGTGCAAAGTACAGAGGTTTACACTGGCTCTGACACAGGAGACAGGCACTGAAGCCAGAAAGCAGGAAATAGCTCTTTCCTCCCATTCCAGCACCATTCCCCTGCAATCCCCAACCTCACTCTAGGAGCTGAGCAGTTCGAAAGACTAGCATTTCTGGGCACTAGTGGGCACCACATAGAAATATGAAACGTCAAAGGAACCTGGTCCAGACCAAAATCTCACAAACCCCAGAAAAAGGGCCAAATAAAAGTGAACTCACCAATCTGAGAACCTGAGAGTTCAAAATAAAAATCATAAATGTGCTCATGGAGGTACAGAAAAATATTCAAGAACTCAGGAACGAATTTAAGATAGAGATTCGATCATTAAGAAATTCCATATTTGAAATGAAACATACAATGGAGGGATTTAAAAGCAAATTAGATGTAGTAGAAGAGACAGTATATGGAATAGAAATTTGAGAAGAGGAATACAAAGAAGCTGAGGCACAGAGAGAAAAAAGGATCTCTAAGAATGAAAGAATATTGAGAGAACTGTGTGACCAATCCAAATGAAAGAATATTTGCATTATAGGTATACCAGAAGAAGAAGAAGAAGAGATAAAAATGGATAGAAAGCGTCATTGAGGAGGTAATTTTTGAAAACTTCCCCAATCTGGGGAAGGAGATAGTTTCTCAGGCCAAGGAGGTGCACAGATCTCCCAACACAAGGGACCCAAGGAAGACAACATCAAGACACATAATTAAAAGGGCAAAGAACAGCAATAAAGACAGACTTTTAAAAGCAGTCAGAGAGAGAAAAAAGATTACATACAGAGGAAAACACATCAGGTTTCCATCAGATTTCTCAAGAGAAACTGTACAGGCCAGAAGGGAGTGGCATGATATATTTTATGCAATGAAAAAGAAAGGCCCCAAACCAAGAATTCTCTACCCTGCAAGGTTATCATTTAAATTTGAAGGAGGGATTAAACAATTTTCAGATAAGAAAAGCTGAGAGATTTTACCTCCCACAAACCACCCCTACAGTGCATTTTGGAGGGACTGCTATAGATGGAAGTATTCCTAAGGCTAAATACTGTCACCAGGGGAAATAAAACAACAATAAAGTAGAAAAATTAATTACTAAGCAGATACAAAATCAAATCAACTACACCCAAAAGTCAATCAAGGGATAGACAAACAGTACAGAATATGATATCTAACATATGAAGAATAGAGGAGGAAGAAAAAGGAGGAAAAAATAAAGAACCTTTAGGTTGTGTTTGTAATGGCATAGTAAGTGAGTTAAATTAGGCTGTTAGATACTAAGAGAATTATCCTTGAATCTTTGGTAACCTCGAATCTAAAGCCTGCAATGGCAATAAGTACATACCTATGATAATGACCCTAAATGTAAATCATCTGCATGCACCAATCAAAAGATGTAGAGTCACTGAATGGATAAAAAAACAAGACCCATCTATATGTTGCCTATGAGAGACTCACTTCAAACCCAAAGACATACACAGATTGAAAGTAAAGGGATGGAAAAAGATATTTCATGCAAGTAATAAGGAGAAAAAAGCAGGAATTGCAGTAATTGTATAAGACAAAATAGACTTCAAAACAAAGAGAGTAACAAGAGACAAAGAAGGAAATCATGTAATGATAAAGGGGTCAGTCCAACAAGAGGATATAACTATTATAAATATCTATGCACCCAACACTGGATCACCTACATATGTGAAACAAATACTAACAGAATTAGAGGAGGAAATAGAATGTAATGCATTCATTTTAGGAGGCTTCAACATACCACTCACTCCAAAGGACAGATCAACCAGACAAAGTAAGTAAACACACAGAGGCACTGAACAATGTATTAGAAGAGACGGACCTAATGGATATCTATAGAACACTATATCGAAAAGCAACAGGACACACACTCTTCTCAAGTGCACATGGAACATTTTCAAGAATAGATCACATACTAGGCCACAAAAAGAGCCTCAGTAAGTTAAAAAAGATAGAAATTGCACCAACCAGCTTCTCAGATCACAAAGGTATGTAACTAGAAATAAATTACACAAAGAAAACTAAAAAACCCAGAAACACATGGAGGCTTAATAACATGTTCCTAAATAATCAATGGATCAATGACCAAATAAAAACAGAGATCAAGCAATATATGGAGACAAATGACAACAATAATTCAACACCACAAAATCTGTGGGACTCAGCAAAGGCTGTGCTAAGAGGGAAGTCTACTGCAATACAGGCCTACCTCAGGAAAGAAGAACAATCCCAAATGAACAGTCTAAACTCACAATTAACAAAACGAAGAAAAGAAGAACAAATGAGGGCCAAAATCAGTAGAAGGAGAGACATAATAAAGATTAGAGCAGAAATAAATGAAATTGAGAAACATAAAACAATAGAAAGAATCAATGAAAGCAGGAGCTGGTTCTTTTGAGAAAACAAACAAAATAGATAAACCCATACCTAGACTTCAAGAAAAAAAAATGAATCTACACACATAAACAGAATCAGAAATGATAAAGGAAAAACTACTAGGACACAACAGAAATACAAAGATTTATGAGAGAACACTATGAAAAATTGTATGCTAACAAACTGGATAACCTAGAAGAAATAGACAACTTTCTAGAAAAATACAACCTTCCAAGGCTGACCAAGGAAGAAGCAGAAAATCTGAGTAGACCAATTACCAGCAATAAAATTGAATTGGTAATAATAAAACTAAGAACAAAACCACTGAACCAGATGGTTTCACTGCTGAATTTTATCAAACATTTAGTGAAGACCTAATCCCATGCTCCTTAAAGTATTCCAAAAAGTAGAAGAGGAGGGAAAACTCTAAAACTCATTCTACGAGGCCAACACTCTAATACCAAAACCAGGCAAAGACAATACAAAAAAAGAAAATGGCAGACTAATATCCCTGGTGAACATAGATGTAAGAGTACTCAATAAAATATTAGCAAACTGAATTCAAAAATACATCAATAAGATCATCCATTATGATCAAGTGGGATTCATCCCAGGGATGGGATGGTAAAACATTCGTAAATCCATCAACATTATCCACCATATTAATAAAAAGAAGGACAAAAACCACATGATCATCTCCATAGATGCTGAAAAAGCATTTGACAAAATCCAACATCCATTCATGATAATAACTCTCAACAAAATGGGTACAGAAGGAAAGTATCTCAACATAATAAAGGCCATATATGACAAACCCACAGACAACATTATGCTTAACAGCAAGAAGCTGAAAGCTTTTCACCTAAGATCAGGAATAAGACAGGGAATCCCATTCTTCCCTCTTTTATTCAACATAGTTCTGGAGGTCCTAGCCATGGCAATCAGACAACACAAATAAATAAAAGGCATCCAGATTGGAAAGGAAAAAGTTAAACTGTCCCTGTTTGCAAGTGACATGACATTGTACATAAAAACCCTAAAGAATCTACTCCAAAACTACTGAATCTAATATCTGAATTCAGCAAAGTTGCGAGATACAAAATTAACACACACAAATCTGTGGCATTCCTGTACACTAACAATGAACTAGCAGAAAGAGAAATCAGGAAAACAATTCCATTCACAAGTGCATCAAAAAGAATAAAATACCTAGGAATAAATTTAACCAAGGAAGTGAAAGACCTATACTCTGAAAACTCCAACACACTCATGAGAGAAATTAAAGAAGATACCAATAAATGGAAACACATCCCATGTTCATAGACAGGAAGAATTAACATTGTCAAAATGGCCATCCTGTCTAAAGCTATCTACAGATTCAATGCAATTCCTATCAAAATACCAACAGCATTCTTCAACAAACTAGAGCAAATAGTTCTAAAATTCATATGGAACACAAAAGACCCCGAATAGCCAAAGCAATACTGAGAAGGAAGAATAAAGCAGGGGGAATTATGCTCCCTGACTTCAAGCTCTACTATAAACCCACAGTAATCAAGACAATTTCATACTTGCACAAGAACAGACCCATAGACCAGTGGAACAGAATAGAGTCAAGTGATTAATCCAAGCATACATGGTCAGTTAATATATGATAAAGGAGCCCATGGACCTACAATAGGGAAATAGCCTCTTCAATAGCTGGTGTTGGCAAAATTGTACAAGTACATTTAAAAGAATGAAACTGGATTATTGTTTAACCCCATGCAAAAAAGTAAACTCAAAATGGATCAAAGACCTGAATGTAAGTCATGAAATGATAAAACTATTAGAAGAAAACATAGGCAAAAATCTCTTAAATATAAACACGAGCAACTTTTTCCTGAATGCATCTCCTCGGGCAAGGGAAACAAAATAAAAAATGAACAAATGGGAGTACATCATGTTTAAAAGCTTCTGTACAGCAAAGGACACTATCAGCAGAACAAAAAGACATCCTAAAGTATGGGAGAATGTATTTGTAAATGACACATCTGACAAGGTTTCACATCCAAAATATATAAAGAACTCACATGCCTCAACACCCAAAAAGCAAATAACCTGATTAAAAAATGGGTGGAGGTCTCAACAGACACTTCTCCAAAGAAGAAATTCAGATGGCCAACAGGCACATGAAAAGATGCTCTACGTTGCTAATTATCAGGTAAATGCAAATTAAAACCACAATGAGATATCACCTCACACCAGTTAGGATGGACAACATAGCAAAAAATAGGAACAACAAATACTGGTGAGGATGAGGAAACAGGTGAACCCTCCTACAACTGCTGGTGGGGTTGTAAACTAGTTCAACCATTGTGGAAAGCAATATGGAGGTTCCTCAAAAAGCTCAAAATAGAAATACCATTTGACCCAGAAATTCCACTTCTAGGAATTTACCCTAAGAATATGGTAGCCCAGTTTGAAAAAGACAGATGCACCCCTATGTTTATTGCAGCTCTATTTACAATAGCCAAGAAATGGAAGCAACCTAAGTGTCCATCAGTAGATGAATGGATAAAGAAGATGTGGTACATTCCCACCATGGAATATTATTCAGCCATAAGAAGAAAACAAATCTTACCATTTGCAACAACATGGATGGAGCTAGAGGGTATAATGCTCAGTGAAATAAGCCAGGTGGAGAAAGACAACTACCAAATGATTTCACTCATCTGTTGAACATAAGAACAAAGCAAAAACTGAAGAAACAAAAAGCAGCTGACTCACAGAACCCAAGAATGGACTAACAGTTGCCAAAGGGTAAGGCACTGGGGAGGGTGGGTGGGAAGGGAGGGATAAGGGGAGTAAGGGGCCTTACGATTAGCACATATAATGTAGGGGGGTGGGCACAGAGAAGGCAGTATAGCACAAAGAAGACAAGTAGTAACTCTATAGCATCTTACTATGCTGATGTACAGTGACTGTAATGGAGTATGTGCTGGGGACTTGAGAATGGGGGGAATCTAGTAACCACAATGTTGCTCATGTAATTGTATATTAATGATACCAAAACAAAAAGTATATATATATATATGTACTTTTAATTTAGTAGTGCTTTTAAATGAATTTTCTTATTAGGTTTAATAGCATATTTATGTACTTGGAGAACAGCAACACATAGTTGGTGAGATGAATCAATTATTCAGCCTAGGGACAAACAGCTGGTATACATGTAGAGTTGAGTATCCCTTACAGTGTCCCATGAAACTCCAAACCCATGTAACCACAATCTGCTGCTCTAAAATTTCTCCTCGGGAAAAAAATTTCTCCTGGAGAATAGAGGTGTTTAGAGGCCTGTGGGCTGCGACCGCACTTTGTTGTCCCTCCCCACGCTATGCTTCTGTTTTGGGCTTTCTGTTGTCATTCTGCAGGGAGGGAAGCTGTTGCAGTGACTTTAGGGTTCTACATAGGAGACTGTGGAGAGGCCGAATGTGCTTTCTGTATTTACTGTAAACTTAAGTGGAGGACCTCGTGTAGCACATGACACTCTCTTCCTTGAAAGGATTTGTGGAAAAATGTTCTCATGTCATAGTACCAGGAACAAACATTTTGTTTTTTTTTTCATTTTGTGGGATACTGGAATAAGGTAATTAGACATTGTTTGAATAATTTTTCTTTCTTTGCACTGGTTACTAGGATGCCCCAACCTGAATCTTGGACCCATTTTTGTTACATATTCAGCAAAGGCATTTGTGTACTAATTTCATCCTGGCCTCATCTATTCTTCCTATGCTTAGTTTTCTATGTGTCATATTTTCTATCTACCTACTTTGGTGTCTTAGATGCATTTTATAAACTGCTTTAAACTATATTTGATAAAGATGGGTATAACAACACACTCACAGGAGCACTGTTAGCACGTTTCCCCTTTCCTATGCTTTCCTTTTCTACTCTGGCTGTCAGAAAAGTCAGGAGCTTTTTGAACAGCTCCTTACCAAAACGAAAAGAGGTTGTTACCTTATCTCCCTTCTTGATGGTCCTGACCTGGAGCTTGCTGATCGCTTTCTTTGCTGCATCTCCCAGACGGCGCTGAAAAAACCAAAAAGTACTTGTTAATCATAAAGATGTGAAATTTTTTACCTTGTTTCTGGTGCCATTTACTAATTCAGGGCAGCTACCTCTGAAATCATGCACAAGTGGCATGATGTTCACAATGCTGGCTGGAGGAGATGTGCAAAGTGGCTTAACTAATTGAGGTCTATTGAAGAGCTTTGTCATCGAGAGAAGCTCTTCATGCCTAATATTAAGCAAGTGGCATATGATAGGCAAAGATCCTGCTCTACAGTGACTCCACACAGGTTACATCCATGCAGGTTAGCAAAAAAAAAATAGTTAGGAATTTGTTACTTTAGCCACTTAGTCTGTGTCATGAAGATAATAGCCAATCTGGAGTAGCTGGAATAAGCTTTACCTCCTTGTTTTCAAGACCAAGGTTAACTATTTGTGTGTTACTTTAAATATAGAATTTTAAGCAATTTCTGTTGCTTATATAAAACCAATGTAGATTTATATTTGGTGTGTGCTACCCTTTTCCATAACATTCTTACATGCCTATTTCACCTCCTTTGTGTATGTTTAAGTGTGTGTGTGGATATGGCAAAATACATAAAAAATATGTGCTCAGCTTAACAAGTAATCACAAAGCAAACACCTGAGCAATCCCCACCCCCCACGTTGAGGACTAATGTATCATGCTCTCCTCCCCCCTTATTTTTATGGAGACAATTATGTCCTAATAAGCCCTGTGGCAATGCAATGACAGGGCAGTAAGGATGAGAGGGAGAAAGTGGGGAGAAAAATTTTAGTCTGTCAATGAAAAGAATGGTTTGTTTGTGTACTATCATGTTGTATTTCCTTCTTAGGTATGTGTACCACTTTTCTTTAATACATGTGTATTTGTGGCAGTGAAACATATTTGAAGGACTAAGATAAACAGGACAAACATTTAACAGAATAATCATTTGCTTCCATCAATTTTGTTCTTTTTGGAAATAACATTCAGCCAGCTGGCTGACTGGCTGGTTGATTGGATGGTTGGTTGTTGAGCAATGAACAGGCAGTTTAGCATTGCCTTTAAAGTCAGACTTAATTTTACTCAGATTCTCACTGACCTGTCACTAACTTTGTGATATTTGAGAATTTACTTAATCTCTACAAGTTTTCATTCATTCTATAAATTAATACTTTTCTCACAGGGTTGTTGTAGGGATAAAGGTTTTATCAGGGTACCTAAGATATATGAACTGTTCACTGGTATATGCTCACTATTTTACAAAAGAGTAAGCATTGGCTGCTTCCTAAAAGGAGGCCTGCATACACCTGAGATTTATGCAGAAGTCTGTGAGTAGCTGGCAAACTAAGGTAGCAGGAAGAACAGGAAGAGTCTACAATGATGAATATCTAGAGGGAACAGAGTTCAGAGGGAGAGTGAAGAATCAAGGTGATTCTAAACAGATGGAACTCTCTTTCCTCCCCTCTTCCTCCAGTTACCAACTGACCATCCTGTGGTCTCAACTCAGGCCAGTTCTTCAGGGAGCCCTTCCTTGCTGCCTCCCAGGGGAGAATGCTTGAGGCTAGACCCTCCCAGCACGTTGCCCCTGTGCTTCATAGCACTGTCACAACATTTACAATGAAATATGCTTTTATGATCTATCCTTGCTACACATCACTCAGGTAAGTTCCCTGAAGGCAGGACTGTGCTATCTTTGCTTCCTACCTTGTCGCCAGCACCCAGAATAAAGCTGCCTTCAATAAATGACACACAATCATTCCACATATATTTTGGATCACTTATGTTGGGTTTTAAAAAAATGGTACTGAAAACACACACACATAGATTTCTGGTCTCTGAGCTCACTATCTAGTGGAAACTCCATAAATGGTTGATGAGTGAATAAGATCTTAAACCAACACTCTTTTCTTTAAGCACAGAAAACAACCTGAGAAATTTAGCCAGTTAACAGGAAAATTTATCACACAACTCTAAGTAATGCTTGTGGTGAGGTAAGCAAGCTGTGCTGCTTTCCATTGAAGAAGCCTGGAGCAAGAATTGAAAGGCCAAGAGGACAGGCTGTTAGATACCAAGAGTAAATGTAAACAACCTGAATATTAGAGTTAGAGTAAGAAATTTGGGCTCCAAGCAAACAAATGTTGATTTTTTTTTTAAGTCAAGAGCTCAGATACTTTTGCAGTTATGCTTAATTGGGATTATATATCTGGCCCCCATTCAATCACTTGATTGTTTTGTATTTTAAAAGGCTAGGAAGAGTGATTAAGTAGCAAAATATATTTTCAAGCAATGATCATAGATAATACTCAGAGGAAGACTGAAATATTTTTAAGGAAGTGAGTCCGAACTGTTTTCAAAATTCAATTTCATTTAAAACAATTCTTTAGGAAATGAAACTGCCCTTCCTAGGAGGAGCCAAGATGGCGGCATGAGTAGAGCAGCGGAAATATTCTCCCAAAACCATAAATATTTTTGAAAATACAACAAATACAACTATTCCTAAAAGAGAGACCAGACAATACAGGACAACAGCCAGACTACATCTACACCTGTGAGAACCCAGTGTCTCGTGAAATGGGTAAGATACATGCCGTGGCCCGGCAGGACCCGAGTCCACCCCTCACCCCAGCTCCTTGGTGGGAGGAGAAGAGTCAGAGATGGGTGGGAGTGTGAGCCTAGGACTGCTGAACACCCAGCGCTAGCCATCCGCACTGGGAGTGCAGCCACAGTGTGTGGTGTGCTGGATACTAGAGAAATGGGACAGTAAAATCTGTGAGCGGGTCCCCACAGCCGGTGCCCCTGGGACAAAAGAAAAGTGAGTGCTCTTTGAAAGTCTTAAAGGGACAGGTGCCCCACTGCTGGATGGAAGCATCCCGGTGCACTCAGCCTAGCAGCTAGAAATGCCTGAGAACTCCGGGTGCCCTAAACCCTGGACAGCAGCACAGACTGGAGGCACCTCATGGCAAAATCAGCCTCCCACCCATTACCCCTCCGGTGCAG